AGTGGCTTATTTAACATTGCTGTCTCAAAGGTGTCAAAGCTTTGGTAAAAATCTTGAACACTTAAGTGGATGTATAATTTGAGCTTCAGATAAAAGCCTAATATTTTATATTCCATGCCCTAAAAATCATATTTATTGTAAGAGAAATAGGGTGAAGATGTAGAGAAAAATTCAAGTAAAATGTATCTAGACATGATTGCATATTTTTTCTGTGTATATCCTTTTATAGCAATCATAATTTGGCCAACCTAATTTAAATTTAAATAAGATTCTTGTCTCCCTTTTAATCATTGCTGATTTTTAAAGACAGAGATAAAGAATCCCCCCCCTTTTTTTGTCAACCTACCCCAGATCATGCAAGAATAATTTTCTAAACTGTCTGGGTGAATGGACACTTCTGTTCTGTATCTCACCTGAGTTCCCTATGAAAGGAACTCTCTAGGCAACTTTATTGCAGGCATTCATTGTCCAGAGAACTGATTGCATGTATAAATGTATATGCTATATCCATAGCATGCCCTTCAAAGTTGAATTGAAAAGAAAACATATCACCACTTCTTATTTCTCTGTAGCAAGAGCTCCTAGTAATGTAGATAATGCAAATTGAAACAGAACAACTTAGCAGAATACTGAGAGATCTCATTGTTCATGGAATGTTTATCATGCCAAAGGAATCGGCAATAACCTTGGCCAGGCTAGACTTAGAAACGTTTTTCATGGGCTGAGGCTGTAGCTCAGTGACGGAGTGCTTGCTTTGCACATGTGAGGCACTGGGTTCGGTCCTCAGCACCACATAAAAATAAACACACAAAACAAAGGCATGCTGTCCATCTACAACTATAAAATTTTCTTTTTTAAAAAGAAAAGGCTTTCATAAAAATGTTATGACCACCAGTATAATCATATCTTCTAAAGTTCTCTTCTGTAAATTCCATGTAAATGTGAACATCCTTTGAAATCAAAATAATCTCCTCAAGTAAGATATCTTCCCCAAACCCACTTACTTTCTTGCAAGATATTTAATCTAGTCTTTTTCTTGAAGTTTTGGGTCTTTGTGACATTGGAGGTCCAGCCACAGTTTCTCAAGTCTGCTCTTTTCTCAGTATCTTGGTACCTGGTTTCAAACCTCAAAGGTCATAAATAACACAACAACAAAAAAGGCACCTGTTCTTCATTTATTCCTCTGTTGCTTCTTTGGGGTGGTAGTTGAAGGATAACCTAAGCTATCATCTAGAAGTGTCTTGAATGAAACAAGAACTTGGTTGAAGAAATGAAGGACATATCTGGCATCCAAAGCCATCCGCACTCCTCTGTATGAGGCAAGGCCTGGGGTTGCAAGCAACAGACTGTCTTTCAGCAATGGTGCTTGTGAAAGTTGTCATAACAAGGGTCCACAAAACAGATGGTTTAAAATAACAGAAATCCATTATCTCTCACAGTTCTGGGGCCTTGAAGTCTGCAGTGAAGTTGCACCAAGGCCATGTTCCCTCTGAAAACTTTAGGGGAGGACTCTTCCTTATTTCTCCCTAACTTCTAGCATCCATATTTGGTATCTCTTGGGTTGTTGATGTATCACTCTGCATCACTCTGGTCTTCTTCCTTCACAGGGCTATCTTCCTTCTGTATATAACAGTGTTCATGTCCAAATTTTTCTTTCAAGGACAGTGTCAGTGGAATTTGATCAGGGCTTACCTGAATGACTTTCTTTTGACATCCTCTGTAAGGATTTTATCTTCAAATAAGGTCACATTGCAAGGTACTGAGGGTTGGGACTTCAACATGTTTTTTGAGGCAGGGAGAACACAATTCAATCCATAACACCAGTTTAAGCAAAATGGAATTTATGGATAAGATATGAAATTGTTTATTTAATTGATGAAAGGAGAAAAGAATGAGAGCTGAGAAGATGCAGGACCATAGCTGCCCAAAGATCCAATGGGCAAAAAACTAATCCCCAGCCCTGCCCAGAGGCTACTGTGGAATGTGGCCACACCACTGGATTCCCATCTTTGTCATCTCCGTGACACTGAGTCCCAGAAGATGGTCTGATTGGGTTGCTCCTTAGGTAGAAAAGTCAGAATCCCATTACTATTCCCAGTAATACTGCAAAGGAAAAGAGTTAATTCCTAAAGGATTTGAGATACTATTACCAAGAGCAAAGAGAAAGAATATTAAGTAGATCCCCCCACACCCCAAGCAGGAAATGAGGCAAGGGGCAAATTTACAAAAAAAAAAAAAGGCATCTTTTTTTATCTATTCTAAATCTGTCATTAATTCTATGTTAATAATAAACCTCTAATGACTGTTAATGTCACCATTTAGAAAAGTCAGCTACCCAGCTACATTTGCCTTTCTTATAATAAGAATATAAAGGGAATTCTAGCTCATCATGATTCTTTCCATTACCGAATGGTCTTTAATTCTATTTTGTGACCATCTCAGTTGTTTTGCAATGGAAAACCTGAGCTCCTGAACAAGCCCCTCTCCCATTCTTTTCTCTGTTGTTCAGGTTCTCTGGTCTCAATCAGCACACCCCACATGACTTGCTGGCCAGGCAACACTTCCTGCAGGATGTAGTCAGCAGTTCCTTGAGACTTTAGAGGGAAGGATAGACTTTGTCCCTCCCGGCTCCAGAAAGACCCAATTCTCCTGCTCAAACTCTGGGCTCTTTCTAATCCACCCTCTCTCTCCACCCATCCTACCACCACCTCTTCAAAGAATATAGCCATTGTTATATTAGTTATGCTTTGAATTAAAAAAAAAAGAAGAGGCGGGAAAAATTAACAAAGTGAACTGCATAAGATTAGGGGCATGTAGGGGTGGCTTATTATTAAATAGTACAAAAATCTTACAGAAAAGGCTTCGTCTCTAGCCTGTCTTTTTGTACTTATTTTATGACTCTTCCAAAGAGAAGTAGTTGATCTCCCATAGTCTTGTGCATGTTGGCAAATTCCTTGCCATGCCTGGGAATAGAAGGGGTGATCTTTCAGGGTGAAATATCATGTAGGAGCATTATATCTGTGAGATAAAGATGAGGGCTCTTCGTGAAGCAGATTGTACCTGTACCTGGAAATAGGAAGAAAGTACTGTAGAGAGGACGTGGATTCAATAAAGGGTGAGCAGTGAGTCCCAGGAGGATAGGGGTTCTTAATCAATATGTAGAAAATGATGGAGGAGAAAATATTTCAAATTTTACATTCTTGGCATCAGAGAAACAATTAAATTGGCTGTCCCAGAAGTAATGCATGTGAATTCTGTTCATGACTCATGGGCCCAGACCAGTCCCTTGGTTCCCCCAGGGAACCAGGAAGTGCATGTGCCCCTAGGAAAGACATAGAACATACTTAGCAAACAACAGCAATGACTCCTGTGGTCAAATGCAGACTCGAGGTGGCTCTAACAGGCTCTGATTCAGAAGACTCTTGAGCTCTGCATTTAAAAAAGGCCTCCTCAGGTGAATTCTGATGCAGGGTGAGGAAGGGAGAATAGAGAGGAATCCCTGGACCACAGTTTAAAGAATGCAGACATCGAATACCTCCTCAGTGCAGGCAGGTGATAAGAAGAAGGCAACAATAACTAAACTGTGGAAGCAACCTAGATGCCCTTCAATAAATGAATGGATAAAGAAACCATGGTATATATATACAATGGAATATTATTCAGCGGTAGAGCACTCGCCTGGCATGCACTAGGCCCTGGGTTTGATCCTAAACACCATATAAAAATAAATAAACAAAATAAAGGTTTGTGTACAACTAAAAAAAAAAATTTAAAAAGAGAATAAAATTATGGCAGGTGAATGGATGGAGTTGGAGAATATCATGCTAAGCAAAGTAAGCCAATCCCTAAAACCACAAAGGCCAGCCATGTCAGGCATGGTAACACATGCCTGTAATCCCAGTGGCTTGGGAGGCCAAGGCAGGAGGATAGTGAGTTCAAAGCCAGCCTCAGAAACAGCAAGATGCTAAGCAACTCAGTAAGACACTGTCTCCAAATAAAATACAAAATAGGGCTGGGGATGTGGCTCAGTGGTCTACTGCCCCTGAGTTTAATTCCCAGTACTCAACAAAACAAAACAAAAAACCCAAAGGTTGAATGTTTTCTCTGATAAGTGGATGCTGATCTGTAATAGGGGAGGGTGTGCGGATAAAATGGGCAAAGGAAAGGGAGAGGAGGGGAAGGGCATGGGTACGGGAAAGATGGTGGAATGAGTGAACATCATTATCCCAGGTACATGTATGACTACACATATGGTGCGACTCTACGTCATGCACAACCAGAGAAATGAAAAGTTGTGCTCCATTTGTGTACAAAGATTAGAAATGCATTATGCTGTCATGTACAACTAATTAGAACAAATACAAAAAAAAAATTTAAAAAAACAAGGAAGGGAACAAATTTGACATAGGACAAAGCCTGGGTGGGTCCCTCAAATTGTAACCAGAGAAGCTACGATGCCTGGACTCGCAGCCCAGATGGCTGAGCAGAAGCTCCTAAATGCCCAGGCATGAAGGTATCTTTGAAACTGTGCCTGAAACTGAGAAGACCCTCAGATGTGTCAGACATCTCCAGATAATGGGTGATCAAGAGGGATGTGGAGCCACTCCAGGTGACCGTTTTCAGATCTAAAGTATATTTTTATGAACACTGGCCATATGTTAACATATATTATCACATAATTGCTTATTTTATTTTCTCTGTTCTTTTCTCCTCCCTTTTCCCTTCCTGTACTGTCTGCTCTTTCCTTTATCACCCATTATTCTCCTTTCTTCTTTCTTTCTTTCTTTCTTTCTTTCTTTCTTTCTTTCTTTCTTTCTTTCTTTCTTTCTTTCTTTTCTTTCTTATTTTTATTCTTTGCTTCTGTCTCCAATTCTTCTCGTCTACTATTTCCCCTTCTCTACACCCCTCTCTTCCCCTACCTCTGTCCCCTCTTCTCTCATCTATTCTTCTCCCTACTCCTTCCCTTGCCCATGGCCCCATCCCCTCCATTGTCTCCACAGGTATTATGCCATCTGCTGCCAGCCTTTGGTTTACAGGAACAAGATGACCCCTCTGCGCATCGCATTAATGCTGGGAGGCTGCTGGGTCATCCCCATGTTTATCTCTTTCCTCCCTATAATGCAAGGCTGGAATAACATTGGCATAGTTGATTTGGTGAGTATCCACACAAACCCCACAGGTTTACCATCTGATCAAGTTTGCTTGGAATTTTCAATCAATAATACTAAGCTGGGTGAATGCTCAAAGGAAGAATCTGACAGTAGCCTCAGGGACAGTTTGTTTAAAAGCTAACATTTTTGAATGCTTACTGACAGAGTCTCCTCGACTCAACTTTAGTCATGGTCTTCTGAATTTTCTTCACAACCAGTCCTCCAATTTTAGTCTTCATATCCATCTTCACATTGCTGTTTTAGCAAGAATCTTGTTAAGTTGATTTAGCCAGAATCCTCTGCCCTAAATACTGGTCAGGTCCTTCATCCTCCATCATCCATAAGTGACATGTGATCAGCCTGGGCTGGCTTCAGGAAGAATCCTGTCATGTTGGTTTAGTTAGGATCTCCTCTACCACTGATATTTCCTCTTAGAGATTTTTCCATCCAATGATTCTCACCCACCATGCTTCTTGGCTATAAAATCCAACTTTTCCTTGATATGTTGGTGGAGCCCAATCTCTCTCTTCTACCGCACAACTTGATCATGGTGGTTACTGTTGCACTTTCATAGGGGGTATTTTTGGTGATACTTGTATTTATAACAGCCCTAAAGCATAGTGCTAAAGTGCTGTCTAGTGTTCCCAAGTGCGTGAGCACTGTGATGTGAGTTATAGGAAGATATGCGTGTGTTAGGTAAACTTCATTCAGGCGATTTATTTATTTATTTATTTTTGGTACTGAGGATTGACTCCCAAGTACTCTACTATTAAGCTACATCCTCCCTGCCTTTTTAAAAATTTGTTCTTTTTAGAAATACATTACAATAGGGTGTATTTTGACATATTATACATACATGGAGTGTAACTTATTCTAATTAAGATCCCATTCTTGTCCCAATTTTTGAGACAAAATCTCACTAAATTGTCAAGGCTGCCCTCAGATGTACAATCCCTCTGCCTCAGCCTCCCAAGTAGCTGGGATTATAGGCATGTGCCACCATGCCAAATGCCTTAGCACTGTAACAATATCATGAATAATCTTTTCTTTAACCTTACTATATGCTAAACAGCACACTACTTTACATATAATCCTAACAACATTGTTTTGGAAATAGTATAATTTTTTCTCCTCTTACAGATAACAAAACTTAGGCTTACAAGGTTAAGTAGCCCTCTCAATGCTGCACAAATTGCAACTAGTGGAACAGAAATTCAAGGCTTAGCAGTCAGATCCCTGGGTTTGTCATATGTTCAGAAAAGTCTTTGTCCCACTTCACATTGAGAGTCTATATGGCCTGCACTGACCTGAAGAGGATATTTCAAGAGGAAATGAAAAGAGCCTTGGGGCAGAAGTTGAGAGCACTAAACCCTGAGCCCAGCTCCGTCACTGTTCTCAGTGGGAAATAGTGTTTGCCAGGTATAGGAGGACATGTGACCTGTGTGCCAGGCATTTCCCAGCCCTTGTTTATGGATTTCCCATAGAAACAGAATCAAGTGTGTGTGTGTGTGTGTGTGTGTGTGTGTGTGTGTTTGTGTGTGTGTGTGTGTGTGTAAATAGATAGAAACAGTAGAGAGAAACACAGAAAGAGATTTATGATAAAGAATTTGCTCATGTGGTTATGGAGGTTGACAAGTCTAAAGAATTAGCAAGTTGGTGATCCAGGAAAGCCAATAATGCTTCAGTTCAAGATCTAAGACAGGAAAAAAAATTATGTCCCAGCGTGAAAGCAATAAGGTAGCAGGAGGTTCCTCTTATTCAGCCTTTCTGTTGTATTCAGGCCTTCAACAAATTGCATCGCATTGTATGAGGCTTCACGTTGGGGAAGACTATCTGCTTTATTCAGTCAACCGTTTCCAATGGAAATCTCAAGCCAAAAAATATCCTCATAGCCAGAATAATATTTTACCAAATGTCTAGGTACTCTGTGACCAGTCAAGTTGACACACAAAATGAACCATCTCACTGTGCCTAGATGCTCTTTAAGAGGCCAGTGTCTCTGATGCACCAAAATCCTAATGAAAATCAAAATCCATAGTATTCATCAGCAGGGATATCTATTTCCTCAGCAAGTTTTCAGGCAATCAATTTAAAATCAGTTTTGGGATTCCTTTTAATGAAGGATGGGGAATAGAGAGGACAGATTGAGGGTGAGCTTCAGCTCCACAGGACCTGTGGGAGAGGGAACTACCCCTTTCTCTCTCTACCCCATTCTTAGCTCCTAGTCCTGCCTTTTTCTTTGTCCATGAAAATACACCCATATCAAGGCCTGGACCAGGATTTTCATGTGGTGTGTCAGAATCAGAGTGCTTGGGCTTCTGAAAGAAATACTAGAGGCAGGAAAGTAGAGAAGTAGAAAGAGGATTCAAACAGGAAGAGCATGAGAGTATTTTCTATTATCCCAACCCAGTTCTGTCAAACTGTGAGTTTTATCATTCTTGGAGAAATGAAATCCAATTTTCCAAAAAATATTGTTATTCCAATAATAAAAACAATAGCAGCCAACAAAAGCTGAATATATGCTGTGTATCAAAGCCCATGTTAATCACCATTCTTGGGAATCTCAATTGTGCCTCACAACAACACTATGAAGAAGACACTATTACTGTCCTCGTTTTATAGATCAGGAAATTGAGGCTCAGTGAGGTTAAGTTATTAACCAAAGTCACTGGTAAGAATTGGTGGTGACGATATCTGAGCCCAGGCTTACTGCATTCCAGAGTCTATGCTAATAATTTTTCTGCAACATTTATTCCCTAGTGGAGAAGACCTTTGGAGCATATGCTTTTTGTTCATGGGGAATTTTTGTGAGGGATCAGCATTTTTACTATCTGATGAGGAAGTTCCAAGGGAAATAATTTGGGAAGTGTTTTTTCATTCTTGGGAGTGAGATAGAGGCACCCCCTCTTTACTTTACCTAATAAACAGTTAAGGGGGCATCTATTTTCTATTAATATGCTTAATATTTATCTCTCCACTCATTTGCACATTGAACCTGCTGAAAGATCCCAATACATATACAACTCATTGTTATTTATAGTAATTACATTTTATAAAGTCACTACATACACTGAATTAGGAAGTACTAAATCTTTGTTCCCAGAGGAAATAGAGGGTTAGATTTCAGCAAGTCACATTTTCATCAACCAATCAATACTCAGCCTTGTCTTCCCTTTATATTTATTTAAAGACACCAATTTAATTCATATAGTTGATTTATTAACATTGAACTGATGGCTAAGGCACTATAAGTCATTCCTGAATGAAGTTTACCTAATACATGCATGTTTTTCGATAATTCACATCACAGTGTTCATGCACTTGGGAACACTAGACAGCAATTTAGCTTTAGGGCCATTATAAATACAGAAATCACCAAAAATACCCCATATGAAAATGCAACATATGTGGCAGTAAAGAGCAAAAAGAACACTTGAGAAGTGGAATTAGAAGATAGAACATTGCTGTTTGACTTCAACTTGGAACATGGCTATCAGGCACTTAGATTCTACACTGTTCTGTGCACAAGTGTGTCAGAAAATTAAACACCATAAGAATTGATCTTTGGAGACTACAAATAAATTTTAGTGAGCAGGTAAATTTACAAATATGTAATCCATTAATAATGAACAAGTATACTCACATGTTTAAATCTACACACACATACATAGAGAGAATGCCCAGGGCAGGAACATACTCCAAAGACTTACTTTGCTCAGTTGACTCACCTGTTTTTTTAAAGGTAGACTTGTCATAAAATCTCTACTTTATCCCCAAATTGTACAAGTCAGCAACCACATCTACTCAATGCAGTTATTTACATAATGTAAAAGAAGCTCCCTAAAAATTTAAAGTCCCTAAAAATTCACATATTAATAACTTAGGCTGTTTCTCCATTATGTTCCTAAACCTAGACCCTACTTAGTAATATTATTTGATTTTTCATCACTAACATTTATTAAGTATTTTAGGCAATATACTAATTTTTTACATGTTAATTTTATCTAATCAACACATGTTAATATTCATTTTTAAAAGGAAACCTCATGACTTTGAAACCCAAGTTCACAATATATACCCTATTTGTTCATTTTTCTATTCAGGCAATAGTAATTGAATGCTGACTATATTCTATAGAAAACTGCAAAGTCAGTGGTGAAAAACATTTAAACTTTTATGGCACTTAACATCTAGTGAGGAGAAACTAATATCTATATCAGAGGTTAAATTTTATTTAAAACAAAATTAAGTAACAAATGATGAGTGATAGGAAGATGTTATTATTTTGCACATGAAATTTACCTCTAAGAAACAAAGACCCTTACAAGAGTATTCAAAGGAACAAACAGTAAGGAAGAAAACAGAGACAAATTTCTTGGAAGCCAAATTAATAACACATTAAAATTAAGAAAGGAGAATTAGGTTCCTGCATACAATGGAAACTATCATAACTATAAAACTGAATAAAAGACACTACATTATTACCTTAGATTAAGTACAGGAGAGTTGAAGGGAGGGGAAGATATGGAGATAAGAAGGATGCTAGAATCAAACAGACATTACTACCTTATGTACATATATGACTGCATACCAATGTGATTCTACAACATGTACTGTCAGAAAAATGGGAAATTATACCCCACCTATGTATGATATTTCAAAATGCATAAATGTATTCTATAGTCATGTATAACTAATTAAAACATTTAAAAATATTACAATAAAAATGAAACACTGTTTGAAGGCATTGGAAAGTAACCAAGGCAAATAAGACTTGAGTAGCTATTATTCCAAATAGAAAAAGAAAATTTTATCAAAAAAGTCTTTGTTGATTCATGAATAGAGAGATAGAGGGATAGAAGCTGAATGGAAAGCAAGAGCCTTGGGCTTATAGTTGTCTCTCTAAACTGGGAGAATATTTTGGAGATTAAAGATGCCAATTTACCCGAGATCTGAGTGATTGAAGTTCTAGAGAGGTGAAAACTTCAGAGATACAAATGTGAAATTTTAGTACACATTTTTTTTCTTGAATCATCTGATACTACTAAAGTAAGAACCAAAAACAAAGAACAGAAAAAAAGCAACATTACATTTTCAAAGACAATCTGGATAATGGAGTTATTTATTACATAAGAACTTTCAGTAACTGCAGTTAAAAAAACAGAAAAGGAGAAATATGGAGAACTTTACTGGAAGACTAGAATTTATAAGAAAGACAGAAAGAGGCAAAAAGAAAGAACAGAAGGAAGGAAGAAAGGAAAATATAAATTAATTTTGGAACTAAGAAATACAGTGAATGAAGAGTGATGAATTTAATAGTAGATAAAACACAGATGAACGTACCTAATTTAAACTGGAGTGTAGGTGTGTAGAAATCTCCACATTGAGGAACAATTATGTCACACACACACACACACACACACACACACACACACACACAGAGATATTCTCCAGAAGAACAGAGAACAGAAATAATATTCAAAAAACTAGTGGTTAAGACTTTTCAAACCAGACAAAAAGCATCAGTCACAGATTCAAGAATTTTCATGAACCTCAGTAGGTTAAGTTAAAAAAGAGAAAACTATCTAGAAGATACATATTTTCAAATTCTGAAAATTGAAGATGAAAGAATAAATCTAAAATCAATTAAAGAAAAAATACAAATTAATTTTAAAGGGAAGTTAAGACTTACAGCTGACCCTGCAATGAATTGATGGCAATGAGAAGGCAATGGAATGACATCTAAAAATGATGAAAAAAAATCTGCAATATAGAATTCTATATCCAATGAGAGTACTCTTCAAAACTTAAGATGAACTAAAGACATTTGCAAGCAAGAAAAAACAGGTAAATTTTCAGCAGCAAAATATTTTTTAGTCAAAAAATAAAACAACAACAATAAAAGAAACCTAGACAGATATGTCACATAACAGGAAAAATGCAGAAGTAGGTAGAATAAAAGAATATTGAAAGCTCAGGCAACACTAATATTAATGTTTTGTGACTTTTAAAAGGACATATAGAATTAAAATATATGAAAACAATACTATAAAAGGAGGATTTGGGTAGGAAAATGGAAGTAAGGAGCTTACAATCTTTGCATCGGCAAGGACATGGTAAATGTATTATGTAGAATGAATTAAATTGTAACATCTAAAACAAAGATAGTGAAAGAACATATGACCATAACCTAATAGAGGGAGTAATATCATGGTGATATCTTAAAAATTGATTATTCCAAAAATAACACAAGAGAAAAATACAAAACAGTAGAGAGTACACTTGATCTAAGTCAATCTGTGATTACAGTAAATATTAATGAAAAAACTCTTCAAAGAAAAGCTGCTAAAAGATAAAAATTTTTAGACTGAATCAAAGCAGAATACATATATATGCTACATGAAGAGATGTCCATTACATGTAAAGTGACAGAAAGGTTGAAATAAAATATTGGGAAAATACATACCATACAAATACTAATGAAAGATGTGGTATAGCCCTACTGTTTGTGATAAAATTTAAAGTAAGTAGCATTACTTGAGATAGAGATATTACATAATGTTAAAGTCATCAATCGAATAGGCAGACATACTATCACATAATACATTATAAAACAAGGTACTAAATATGTACAAAACTAATAAAATTTTGTATTTGGGTATCATGTATGCATATATATGCATATGTGTTTTATATATACACATATTAGATGTATGTACATATGCATTTTTTCCATGTCTTTATTCACATATATAATCACAATGGTGTGGGCTGACCCCAAGCAGGGGAAGGGACACTGAAAGAGACTCCTTTTAGCAAAGGTCTATTAGTAGAGAAGGTGACAGAGGTAGAGCTGTCAGCAATCTGTGTTCACAGTTGCAGTCTTAGAAACCTAGTGTCTTACAGGGTCCAGGACAAGTATAAAGGAATGTAATGCAATTACATTAATTAATATAATTTACTAGACTACTAAAAGGAAGTGGGGGAAAATCCCCATGACCCATCTCACTACTGCTAACATTGAATTGATAAAATACAATATTCATCCAGGTTTAAAAAAATTTAAAACCTCATTAAACAAAATAATAAAAGGGAACTTCTTCAATTAAACTGACAAAATTCATATAGAAAATGTCATACCCAGTAGTAAAATACTGAAGATTTGCTTCCTAAACCTGGAAATAAAATAAGAATGTCTACAATTACAACTTTTTTCAAAATTATAATAGAGATATTTTGAAATTCAACAAAGCATAAAAAATGAAATGAAAAATTAATACTCATGTGCATATTTATGGAGAAAATTGACAAGAATCTAGAGATGAATTATTAGTTAATAATTCATTTAATCAAGTTGCTGAATGCATAATCAATACACCAGAAGATCTTCACAGAATTCCATATACAAGCAGCAACTTAGGATAAGAATTTTAATATGGTATCATTTATAATTGAATAAAAACAAAACACTTAAGAGCAAATGAATAAAAATGTACAAGATGTTTATACAGAAAATATAAAATATTACTGAAATAGATTTTAAAAGACTTACATAAAGGGAGGGATTATTGCAAAGATGTTCTGAATCATGTTATTATAATTCCAGAAACCAAAATCTTTGAAGATTTCCATGTAAATTGATAAACTATGACTAGATTTTATATGAAAATACTGAGATATAAAAATAACCAAAGCAGTCTTTAAGATGATGACCCACAGTTCGAAGATTTTAATATGGGGCATCCAAAATTAATAAAGTTACAAATTAAAATGGTATGGTGCACAAAGAGACAAATCAAGAGAACAAAATAGAAGATTCAAGCATAGAGCCATGGATGTTTGATTCCCTGATTTATGACCAAAGACATACTGTGGTAGCTGGGGAAGGGTGGTCTTCTAATCCATGATACTGTGTTAATTAGCTATCCATAAAGTAAAATTTAAATCTTATCTCCTACATAATACCATATTGAAAAACTAATCCCAGGTGGGCTAAAGAAGTTAATGCAAAAACTAGCACAATAATATGCTAAGATATAATATAGGAGAACGTCTTTAAACAGATATGAGAATATCTTTATACTGAGGTATAAACAAAGATTTCTAAAACAGGCCACAATGAGTGTAACTAAAAGTATAGGTTCTTTTAAGAACTTCTATCACCAGATTCTAAAAAGAGAAAACTGTTTAGACTTTAACACATAAATTTGATAAGTCATATCCAGAATATAGGTGAACTATAAAGAATAAATAAGAAAAAGAAGGACAACCCAGTTTTTTAAATGGGAAAATACCTGAATAATCACCTCATAAGAGAGGATATCTAAATGGCAAAATGGTAATTGATATCACTAATTATTGGAAAATACATAGAAAAATCACAATAAGATTCTGAAGGGTCCTGATGAGTTTAGATTGGATTCAGATTATTTTATTTGATCCAAATTTTAAGCAGGCTGGTGGGGGATGGCAAACAAGGAATAGAGGTACAGAGAGCAGAAGCACATGGAACTTGAGATGACTTACTTGGCTTGAGACTGAGGATAGGACCCCAAGAAGAATGTGCCTATAAGAACTAGGCAGTATTTCATCATATAAAGACAATACTCTGGTCCCATGAGGGAATCAGTGATGATCATGAAACAGAAGCAGAAATTTAGTCTCACATATTTTCTAAAGAAAGCGATGTCAGGGCACTGTAATCACACGGGCAGGGATGCCTGGGACGATTTTGGTACCAAAGTTATAAAAATAAGACAAATCCTAATCTAAACATATCTGCAGAGTCACAGACATGTGGAGTGTTTTACTGATGTAATCAAATCCACTTTACAACCATTAATGGATCAAGCAAACCCACAATGAGATAAGACCCCACACTGACGATGCCAAGTGTCGGTGAGGCGGCACTGTAAGTGGGGCTCTCCTAGCCTGGTGGGAGGAATGTCAACTTACAGTCCCTTTGGGAGCCTTTTGGCTGTACATACAAAGGTGAACATACATTTACCTATGACGCAGTGACATCAGCCCTAGATATATACCTAAGAGAAATGAAGGCTTACATATTCAAACTTATACACGAATATTCATAACAATCTTATTCAAAATAGCTCAGACCTGAAAACTGTCTAAATGTCTGTCAGTAGTGAAATAGATGATGACTGAGGTTCACTTCTCAAATGCCACGAAAAAGAAGAAATTATCTGTGGTTTCAGACATCCACCAGGGAGGTCAGAATGTATCCCCTGTGGATAACAGGAGACTTCTCTACATAGATTGAGTGGGGCAAGACCAAAGGGAACTGGGAACTCAACCCGCGTTGAGACCTAGGTAATACTCACTGTTTCCCATTCTCCCCAGAACCCACTAAATGCAGGTATTCATCCCAATAATTTTAAATAAAGCATCTTATCCTTGTCTTTAGAAGAAAAACAAAGTGGCTGATATATCTTCTTTCTTTCCCTTTCTCTTTTTCTCTAATTCTTCTTTTCCCAATCCCCTTCCTTTCTTTCTGTTTTTCTATTCCCCTCTTTCTCTTCTTCTTTTCTTATATTTTCCTCATTTTGTCCTCCCGTGTCTTCACTTTTTCCTTCCCTTTCTCCCTCCCTTCCTCATTTCCTGTCTCCCTCCAACTCTCAGATAGAAAAAAGGAAATTCAACCAGAACTCAAACTCGACCTACTGCATCTTCATGGTCAACAAGCCCTACGCCATCACCTGCTCCGTGGTGGCCTTCTACATCCCGTTTCTCCTCATGGTGCTGGCCTATTATCGCATCTACATCACCGCCAAGGAGCATGCCCACCAGATCCAGATGTTGCAGCGGGCAGGAGCCCCCTCAGAGGGCAGGCCCCAGCCAGCTGACCAGCACAGCACCCATCGCATGAGGACAGAGACCAAAGCGGCCAAGACCCTGTGCATCATAATGGGTTGCTTCTGCCTCTGCTGGGCTCCATTCTTTGTCACCAATATTGTGGATCCTTTCATAGACTACACTGTGCCCGGGCAGGTGTGGACTGCTTTCCTCTGGCTCGGCTATATCAATTCTGGGCTGAACCCCTTCCTCTACGCCTTCTTGAACAAGTCTTTCAGACGTGCCTTCCTCATCATCCTCTGTTGTGATGATGAACGTTACAGAAGACCTTCCATTCTAGGCCAGACTGTCCCCTGTTCAACCACAACCATTAACGGATCCACGCATGTACTGAGGTGAGTGTTTAGGGCCCATTTGGTTCATTTGCTTTATTTATAAGGGGTAATGCTCCAGCCTTCTGTTTCCAGGAGGTTTATTTCTGAAAACCTGCATAGGGTTTGCAGAGCTTCTGGAAGATTGTACCATTGGATCATGAAATAAAGTAGTGGGATAGGACTCTGGCTGTGGAGGGAGAACCAACCCACATTCTGACCCGGTCTCCTAGTTCTCTGACCTTAGGGAGGTCATTTAACAATTCTGAGCCTGATTTTTTTCTTCAGATTATAATTGCTTTATCTACATCACAGGATTTTTGTGAGGATCAAATTAGCTACCATGTGGCGCACATAGCATAGATCCTGACACCTGGTAAGCACTAAGGAAAGGGGATCTGCCACTCTCTAAAGGTAGTATCTCAGAGGAGTAGTCAAAAGCATGGACTTAAGGCAGGCTGGTCCTTATCCTGATTCTCAGTGCCCCTACTCACCTTCTGTATAATCATTCGTGCATTTGCTTTCCTTAAATATAGAAACAACAATAAGGATAGTGTCATTCTCACTGGATTTTTGTGGCAATTAGAAATAATGTATTTATAGGGCCTGACACAGAATAAGTACTCATACTATTACTAATAATCTGATTAATATAAATAGAACTGTTAGTAATCTCATGGTGCCTGATAGTCTAAGATAGCCCTAAAGTAATATAAACAACAAAAATAAATAGAATAATATACAATAGTAATGCCATATGATACATGATGTAATAGAGGACTGTACTACCTCAAAGAAGGGTATGAGTAGGAAGAAAGCTGATTTTGGCTGAAGGAATTCAAAAACGTCTTCACAGAAAGGCATTTTTATAAGAATTTGAGACATGGAGAGCATATCAGGAAGCAGACAGAAGAACAGGAAGAAGGAAATAGAATATGAAAGCATGGAGAGGTCAGGTGACCTACCCAAGGTCACACAGGTTGAAGGAGGTTGAAGTGACATTGGAGTTGAATGTTCAATAGCTAGTCCCTGAGAACTTTGTGGTCACCCTGTGATAGAATTTTTCTCGACTATTAAAACTCATGTGTAATACGAATGTTCGTTCTGTAGCAGAATGAGTTATCAGTGATGTTTTCTTTTTTGCCCTGAGAGACATCGGAATTCCTAAAGAGCAGCTCCTTTTTGACACCAGCATTTAGTTATTCTGATGATGTCAGTATTCAGCTGTGCTGGCAGCTGAAAATTAGGGAATTTTCATTTACTTGTGTTAGAAAAGAAGAGGAGAAAACAGAACTACTGTGAAATATAAACACAGTGTCACAGAGACTCCTCAGAAGCATGAATCCAATTTTTAGCTACCAGTGTGGGCAGTCTTGGAGCTAAAGCCTTAGTGTGGTGTGGAGGTCCAAGCTGGTGGAAGGGCCCCAAAGGATCCTCTAAGAGTTTGATAGTCTCTCCTAATTATTATGCCTTACTGAGTGTCAGAGAAGGAATCCAACCACAAAGTGCGTATAAGAATTTCTGTGTGGGTGCTGGAGAGTTTTTTAGCTATTTAAGCTCGCAGTTACCTAAGTACAGGCTGTCAGTGAGTTACAAACATCATATGTTTCAGCAATACATGTCCTAAGATGGTTTTTTACAAGTTGGTGGCTTTTTCCCACAGACACCAACACAGAAAGAACTTGGAAGTTTCTAGGGCAGCTCAAGAAAGCCCGTTTTACTAACATGGTACAATTTTTTTCCTCTGATTTTTTCGTAATGTGTAGTATATCATCAAGCAAAGAGATGGAGGTTTTGAGATAGCTTACAGATGTGTCCTCCGTATTTATTTCTTACACCTCTTCATGAGATCATGAAAGTACAGGAAGCCCCGGATGGAGGTATTTTTCTGTGGGGATGAGGAGTCTTAGTAAATGGAATGTAGCCTATTTAGAGAAGAAAAAACTATTTCCAACCTGAATCCGCTACAGGGTAACTCTTACAGGGACAGGAGTTGTGCCTATTTGATTCACAGAAATAAACAAAATTGTCAACATGTTACCTGATATGCATATAGGAACTTAAACTCTTGATGAATAAATCACAAATGAGCTCTCCAAACCAATTGTTCTAACATAATGCATCCTAAGATGATTTTGCAATTTTCTTAAAAATTCCACAAGTACATCATCAACAAATTCAGGTGAATTCAAGAAATATAAAGCCAAAAAAACAAAAACAAAAAGTAAAATCAGTTTTTATCCTGCTAATGCCTATCCCCAGAGACAACAATTAACATTAATCTAGAGATCTTTTCAAAGTATTTACAAACATTCATAAAAGCATAAAATCATAGCTTTTTCTCCCATTATTTTATATAAATGGTACCACTGGATATGTACTTCTCTATATCTTGCCTTTTATTCTTTAACAGCACAGTTTAAAGATAATTCTATTGGAGAGCGTACAGATATAGCTCATTCTTTTTTAACTGTTCCATACTCTTCTGTACTAAAAATACATATTAAATGTATTTTTAATTATTTAATTATTTTCCATTAGTGGGCACGTAGGTATTTCCAATTTTTTGCTATTACTAATTGTATTATATAGAGCTCTGAACACTTTTTTTTTTGCATGTGCCAGTATTTCTTTCTGTGAGCTACAAAAAGCGAAATTGTTAATTAACATGTGACCACATTTAGGATTGACCTCCAAGAACACTGCAGCAATTTTATGTTCTTGTTAACAGGATATGAGAGTGTTCTTTAGTCTTTTTCCTCACAAATATTGATTATTATCCATCTTTTCTCATTTTGTTAATTAAAAAGACACTCTCATTTAATTCACAATTCTCAGATTTCTTGTCAGGTTGAAACTATTTTAAATTAATTCTTAACTCTTCATATTTGACCTTCATGAACTATATCTTTCTATGCTTTATCCTTTTGGTGACAACTTTGTTGTATTTTTCATATTAATTTCTGGTGTTCAATGTAATATTCTGGATATTAATCCTTTAGTATCTGATTTGCAATACATCTCCTCTTCTTCTGCTTGGTTCTTAACTTTAGGTAATTTTTATCTTCTAGATATTTCCAATTTTGAAAACAGTCTTTTTCTTTGACCTCCTGTAATCAGCCCAGCTTATTTCTTAAAACTCCTCCTACATCATATTTCCTAAACCTTGCAGTTCTCTGGTTTTCCTCCTAAGTCCTAGCAACCCTTTCTCCATCCCTCTGAGGAGCTCTTCCTTCTCTGTCTGGCCTCTCACTGTTGGAACTGTTCAGTGCCTGGTTCTTGCTACTCTTCTCCATCATGCTCTTCCTCTGTATGACTGACTACACCACCCAGTGCAGTGCCATCTTCATGCTCTCAGCTTTCCCTTCAATTATAATCTCAAGTTGCAGTTCTCCTCTGGGCTCCAGATCAGAAGATCCAATTTGCTTCCTGAACATATGCACTATGTAGATGTCTGTTAGGAATCTCAACTATAATACAACCAAACAGAACTCTTGGTTCTATATTCCTCCTTCATCTAGCCACAAGATTCCCGAGTCTTCCCTATCCAAGTAGATTCAGCTTCTACCATGTTACTTACATTTCTAAGTCATTTCTTTAGAAGGATGACTGAAATATTTAAAAAGAAAAAATAACCAAAGTGTGATCAGGAGGCTAATTGTGCTAATGTCACCTAGTAGCTTGGAAAAAGAATAGATTCCTGGAACCCGTTCACTCAATCATGGTCAGGCTAGTAAAATAATTTTAATGAAGATGAATATTAAGCTTATGAATATTAAGCTTCAAGAATGACAGTCTCCTGGAGCTCCAGTGGCATAATCGGTTAGTGTGTGGTACTTATAAGAATGACAGTCCCAGATTTTCATGGATCAGAATAATGAGTTAGGTATTCAGGTTATGGCACATATTGTAGCTTGTTGGGTTCTTATAATATCTCTTAAAGGGTAATAAGTTGATCTGAGGTTAACTAGTAAAGTGCAATAGAAAGTTCCTTTTGAAAGCTTGCCTCAATTCAGCCATGCCCAGTTTAAGACAAATGGTTCTCCTTAATTGGGAGACAGTATGACTACGTAGACATGCCTTGTGGCCACGACTAGGTGACAGGTGGTAAGAACAGGTTATTCTAATTTGATTTGGGATTCTTTGGGGATTTGATTTTGGAGTTCTTTTAATACTGAATTAATGCTGAGGACCTTGCTATTCTTGTTCACTGCTGTTTCCTGAGGGCCTACTTAAATGTGCCTGCAACACTGCAGTACTTGGCAAGGGGTTGAAGGAAGGCTTCTTTCCTGGCCTTGCTTCTCTGTTTAACCAACTCTATGATGCTTAGCTCAGATAATGCAAGGCAGAGCAGGGACTCAAGGTGCTGTTACTTTAGAAAGAGATTCTCTCTGTGAAATCTGCTAAAGATTTCAGTTTTGCTTTTGTGGATAAATAATCCCTGACTTCCTATCTCACTATCTCATTGTGAAAATCAAACAAAATAGTGGATGTGAAATCATTTTGCTAACTACACAGTTCTGTCCATATGGGAAAGATAACTATAAGAACAGACTTCTGATAAATTAGGCAACACAGAGATTGCATACAGAGTTGGGCTATGGAGATGGGTTTTTCTTCTCTCCTATAGGACTTAGATATCTTTTCTATTTCCCAAGTTCAAATCTTACTCAAACTTAAGACATGGCCAATTTTTAAGAAGGTGAGAACCTCTGGAAGTACTTTCCAGAGAACTCATTGTTCACCTACTTTATTTCTTGGTGATCATCCTTCTTTATCCTCCCATAAGCCCCAAGATAGGCAAGTTTTCCATTGACTTAAAGATCTCTAGAGCTGTTATGGTTTGGATGTGAGGTGTCCCCCAAAAGCTCATATGTGAGACAATGCAAGGAGGATTAGAAGAGAAATGATTGTTATAAGAACCTTAACCTAATCAGCAATTTAATCCCTGATATGGATTAACTGGATGGTAATTATGGGCTGGTAGAGTGTTGCTGGAGGAAGTGGGTTCCTGGGGGTGTGCC